TTACTGTTAATGCTGATGGGATAGAGATATCTCACTTTTGTTTCAATTTGCATCTCTCTCTAATCCTGGTGTAAGGAGCTCTGGTAGCATAGTGCTTATGAATCAAGCTGAAAACCTCAAGGCCAGCAGTTCGAAACTATCAGCTGTTCCACAAGAGAAAGCTTAGGCTTTCTGCTCCCATAAAGATCTACAGCCTTGGAAATCCTGTACAGGGTCGCTATGAGTCGGAACCGACTCCACAGCACATAACCACCACCACCAATCGTGGTGTGGCGCTGTGGGTTAATAACGCCAGACTGTAAATCTGTTTGAATTGCAAGATTGATGGTTCAGGCTCACCAGTGGCTCCTTGGAAACCCTATACAGGGTTGCTATGGGTCAGAACCAATTGGACAGCACTTCACAACAAACATCCTGGTGTGTCGCTGTATCCTAAGTACTCAACTGCAAAGTCAGTTTGAACAGCAAGGTCGGTAGTTCAAACTCACCAGTCATTCCTTGGAAACCTACTCAATAGCACATAACAACAGTGACTAATGATTGTGAACATTTCTTCATGCATTTGCTAACTGCCTGAATGTCTTCCTAGTGAAGTGTCTGTTCACATCTTGTGACAACTTTTAATTGGGTTGTTTGTCTTTTTCTTGTAGAAGTATTGTAGTTTTCTATTTTGGAGATTAGTCCTTTGACTCATAACATCATTGCAAAAATTTTTTTCCCAGTCTGTGGGTTTCCTTTTTACTCTTGGTTAAATCTTTTGATGCACTTAAGTGTCTAGTTTTTAGGAGGTCCCAGTCATCTATCTTTGTCTTCTGTTGTTTGTGTGTGTTTTGTAATTTTTGATAGGATATGTATGCTCTTAAGTTTGTCCCTATTTTTTCACTGATGATCTTTACAGTTTTGGGATTTACATTTGGGTCTTTAATGTTTGTACAGGATGTGAGATAGAAGTTTTGTTTCATTATCACATTTTTGTCACTCTCTTTGGGTTTCTTGTAGTAGTGTTTGTTTTTTTTTAAGTTTTTATTGTGAATTATGTGGGTTTACATGGGAGAACATCGACTTTACCTTCATCCTATAGTATTTCATTTCATTGCAATGATTACAGTCCCCTCCATGCATCTTCAAACAACCAAAGGGGACACCTCACAGGCCTGCCCCCAGGCCTTCAGCACACAGACCCTCTCCCTCCCTGAGTTCAGTGGCCCCAGCTGCTCCATCTGTCCACATCATCGTCTCGCCTTTATCTCTGGTGTCACTGCTTCTCTGGATAGGGTCCCGCACTCTGCTCTTCTCACTTGATGGTCCCAGGGACCTCTGCTCCTGGGCTACAAAAATCAATCACTCCCCTCCTTTTGTTACAAAACATCTACCCTCACAATCAGTACTGATAGCAGTTATTCACTATTGTACCACAAGAGTCTTATCCCCATCTCCTTTCATTAGCCCTGCCCAGACAGATTGTATACTACTCAGTGGAGATTCTACCTTCCCCTGCTCCGTCTGGAACTAGGCTCCATTTTGAAAGCTTGTAAGCCAGTCACTTCTTGCCTTTGTAGCCCCCCTCCCCCACCCCCCGTTTTGGGTAGCCAATGTCTAAGTTGCCCATCCCTGTCAACCCTGTGTACTGAGGTGGTGGGGATGATCCTCGCTGTGAAGATGTGTTCCCTTTTTTGAGCAGCTACATCCATAAGTACAGGTCAAGTTCATCAAATTTTAGCGGATTCAAGCTCACCAGCTGCTCCTTGGAAACCCTATACAGGGTCGCTATGGGTCAGAATTGACTCAACAGCATTTAACAACAACAAATGTCCTCAAGGTTCATCCATGTTATGCGGTGGCTTGCAGCTTCCTTGTTATTTTTCAAGGTAGCGTAGTATTCCATTGTGTGTATTACGTACCACAGTTTGTCCATTCTTCAATTGATGGGCACTCAGGCTATCTCCTTGTTTTTGCTATTGTAAATAGTGCAGCTATGAACATTGGTGTGCATATATCTTACTCGTGTTATGGCTCGTATTTCTTGTGGGTAAATACCAAGTAGAGAAATCATAAAATATTTCTATTTCCAAGCACCATATTGCTTTCCAGAGAGGTTGGACCATTGTGCAATTCCCACCAACAATGTAGGAGGGTCCCAGTCTGCCTGCATCCTCGCCAGCATTTATTGTCCTCCAATTTTTTTTTTTTTTTAATCTTTGCTGCTATTGCTGGTGTGAGATGATATCTCATTGTTGGTTTGATTTGCATCTCTCTAATGGGTTGGAATCGACTTGATGGCACTTAACAATAGCTAGTGATCATGAACATATCTTCATGTTTGTTGGCTGTGTGGATCTCCTCCTTGGTGAAGTGTCTGTTCATGTCCTGTGCCCATTTTTTTATTGGGTTGTCTTTTTCTTATAGAGGTGTTGTAGTTTCCTATCTATTTTAGAAATTAATCACTTTTCCGATGTGTTGTTGCAAAAGACTTTTTCCCATTCTGTGAGTTCCCCTTTTACTCTTTTGGTGAAGTCTTTTCTTGTAGTCGTTTTTTGTAGTTTTCTTTGCACAACTCTTCTGTTTTTCTGGTTAAATTTATTCCTAAGTATTTCATCCTTTGGGTGGCTAGTATAAATGGTATTATTTTCCTAATATCCTTTTCACTACTGTCTTTATTAGTATAGAAGAACCCAACTGATTTTTGTATATTGATCTTATACCCTGCCACTTTGCTGAATCTTTCAGTGAGTTCCAGTAATTTTTTTGCTGAGTCTTTGGGATTGTCTGTATAGTATCATGTCATTTGCGCATTGAGTGTTTGACTTATTTGCCAATTTGAATGCCTTTAATTTCCATTTCTTGCCTTACACCTCTGGCCAAGACTTCCAACACAGTATTAAATAAAAGTGGTGATAAAGGGCATCCTTGCCTGGTTTCCAGTTCAAAAAGGTAATACTTTCAGTTCTCTCTATTGAAAGTGAAGTTAGCTGTTGGTTTTGTAGGTAATGCTCTTAATTATGTTAAGAATTTCCTTTAAATTCTACTTTGTTGAGTTTCTTGTGTTTTTTTTTTAATCAAGAATGGGTGTTGGGCTACCTAGGGGTAGGCTACAAAGGCACAAAGTAATTGGTTTACAAGTTTTCGAGAGGGAGTTTAGTTTTAGAGTGTGCAGCGGAAGATAGCATCGCCACTGAACAGTTTTCATCTTGTCTAGACAAGTCTAGTGAAAGGAGCTGGGGATAAGAGTCTTATGAGTCAGTAGTGAGTAATTGTTATTATGACTAATTGTGATGGTCACAACTGTAAAGCCTTTGCATAGGCAACGAAGCACAAGTTAAAAAAAAAAAAAAGGAGTAGACTTTTTTTGATGCCTTTTCTGCTTCAATGGATATTATCATGTGGTTTTTTTTTCTTTTTTAAAATTTATATGGTGGATTACATTGATTTTTTTTCACTCTGGTAGCCTACTGGTTACGAATCGGGCTGCTTTTTTAGGCATTGTGATGTTGCATGTATTTTAGTGTATTGTTAGGTTTTCATCAATTGCTTTCTGGTCTGTGTGATCAAGAGATAAGCTTATCTGTTAACTGTACAGTTCAATTTAGAGTGATTTTTGTAGATGTTGGTTGTATACACTGCTTTGGTGTATAGCAGCTGGTATTTTTTCTTGCGCAACTGGTGGGGATCTAGAGGGTACAGCTGTGACTTGGCTGTATGGCCACAGTGGTGATTTCCTTTCATGTGATGCAAGAAAGGAAAGAAAGAAAACAAAACAAAAACCAAACCAAAAAAAAAAAAAATCAACACAAAGACAGCTCATACATCAGCGGTGGAGGTGGGAACTGAGTCACTGGTTTTCTTTGCCAATAGGTGGTGTGCTCTGACACTTACTGCTCTCTTGCCTTCACAGCTGCCTTAGAAAGTTCACATTAGCCGTAGTGCATCCCTAATATTGCTTGCCTCTTTTCCTTTCCTTTTTGCCCCTCTCTGCCCCCCACATCTGTTTAACCCCCTTTCCTAGTGAGAGCCAGTCCAGGGTTGTCCAGTGTCAACTTTGCAGATTTGGATCTGAGCTTGTTCTAGTGGGGTTATTTTATATAGCACCTCCCTCAGTTTACAACCTCCATGTGGCTCTAACCAGCTGGAAAGTGGGATATTTCCTGGGGTTTCATGCTGGTTTGAAAAAAAAAGAATCACATCTTTGACTCCACGAGCCACAGTCACATCTTTGACTCCACGAGCCACAGGTAGGTTTTGCGCCATGCAAATATTTTCTTGTTTCTAAAGCTGTTTATAAACTTTCATGACTGCCACAATTTCCAAAATATTCATTAACTGATGAATGAACAAATTATGAGCATGCCATGTTCACGCAGCCATAAAAAGTAGCAAACCACTGATAAACCACATGAATGAATTTCAGAAGCATTATGCTGAGTGAAAGGAGTACATGTTGCATGATTACATTTATGTGAAGTTATAGAAGAGGCAAAACGAATTTATACTGAGAGAAATCTGGTTAGCTTTTTCCCCTGGTGGTAGGGAAAGGAGAGTATTGACAGGGAAGAGCACAAAGGAACTTTCTGGGTGATAAAAATGTTCTATATCTTGATCTGGATGTTGGTCACACATGGGGGTACCGTTTGTTACAACGCTGCTTTGTAGTAAATTGACCCTATGTTACAAAGCAGTATTGACCCATAGGATTTCCAAGACTATGGTAGCAGACAGCCTTAACTTTCTCCCATAAAGTGGTTGATGTATTCAAACCACTCAATGCTTACCCACTGCACCACCATTGGTATGTTGTTTAGTGCTGTCGAGTCAGTTCTGACCCTGTATAGGTTTTCCGAGGAGCTGCTTGCTGGTGAGTTTGAACCACCCACCTTGCAGTTCAACCGGCTTTGCAGTCTGGCGCATTAACCCACAGCGCCACACCTAGATTCCATTGGTATACATTAGTCAAAGTCTATTGAACTGTATATTTAATATTTGTATTTTTTTCCCCCTAGTATTCCAATATTGGAAACAGAAGAGAACACATCAAAACAACGACCAATCCCCAGCCAGGCTTCCTGGAGCGACTTAGTGAGACCTCAGGTGGAATGTTTGTGGGGCTCATGACTTTCCTGCTCTCCTTCTACATAATTTTCACCAATGAGGTAAAATGTCAAGAGGAAGAATCTTACAGTTTCAGTGAACTAAAGCTATGAATCCAGAGATTAGATTTGGACATAAAGGGCCCAGACGTTACTAAAGAGAGGTTGTTGGGTGTGTGCTGAACTGGTCAGAATTTTTTCTCTTGTGATTTACCTCAGAATTGATCTAAGCAAGAAAATGAACAGATCAGTTCACACCCTGGTTGGTTCCAGGTATTCATACTGGGTCATTGGGAATCTCCATTTTTTCATTTCTCAGCAGTTTTTCTCTGTGATACCGTTTTTCTTAGGAAGGTTTATCCTTCCTGGTGGCAGAGACCCCAGCAACTCTAGAGTCACATTCAATAAGCTTAGCATCCCCAGAGAAAAGAGGAACCATGTCTTTCTAATTCAGTATAGCCACAGTTGTAGGGAAAGCTCCTAGTGTCCAGGCTTGGTCTCTATGACACAGTCCATGTGGCCAGAGGGATACATGTTCTGGGTGATTAGGACTTAGTCAAATGATTACATTAATTCATAGTAATCAATAGAGGTCTCCCTGGGTCCAGTCTTGATCTGCTGCTTCCTGGACCTCAACTATCCAGCTGTAAAATGAGGCACATCATTATGCTCTGATAGTCTGTAACAAGCACAACTGCTTCAAGCCACCTGTCACTTGATGACATCCACTTTACTTTGCTTGCAGGGCCGCACATTGAAGACGGTGAACTCTCTGGCTGAAGGACTTTCTCTTGTAGTCTCCCCAGACAGTATCCACACTGTGGCTCCAGAGAACGAGGGAAGGCTGGTGCATATCATTGGGGCCTTGCGGACATCCAAGGTAGGTTTGGTGGTTGTTGCAGCCTATTGGTGACTCTACCACATTACTGGATATTGTCTGGTTGAGCTTTTTGGAACTTATGATTTCTAACTCCCTAGTCACTCCTGAGTCTCACCTTCTCAGTCTACAGTATGGGGATAATTGTTAACAAATAACTTCAATGTCTGGCACATGTTTGAGCTTCAGAAATAGGTGTTTTAAAGATTATTTTTACCCAAGGTTCTTTCTGACACAGTCCTCTCCAAGTACATAAATTTGAATAATAGTGGTATTAACTGGGCTTCCCTGTAGGAGTATGGATATTATCCTATCATAGACAGCATTGTACGTCATAACTGATCTGGATATGTTTTTTTTGACAATGAATGCAACACCATTCCTCTTCAACTTGTCATTCCCAGCAATAGTAAACCTTGTGGTTGTCAGATTCAAAATGGCCAATACCAGTACATTTCAGCTCACTAATGCCTACGATGTTGATGTTCATGCATTCCATTTAATCTTTGACAACTTCTAATTTTCAAAGAACATTTCATGTTTCGATTTTCAATGGACGTTTACAGCTGTTTCTCTTCATTTTGAGTTGTGCCCCGTCAGCAAATGAAGGTCCCACGGGCTTTCCTCCCACGAGCTTTACTCCATTCGCGTCATCACAGTCAACACTACATTGAGGAGGCAGCTCTTCTCCAGTTGCATTTTGAGTGCCTTCCAACCTGCAGGCTAATTTTCCAGCACTATATCTGACAATGTTTCTCTGCTATGCATAAGATTTTCAGTGACTAGACATTTGGAAGTAGTTCATCACTCCTTCTTCCTAGTCTATCTTCATCTGGAAGCTCACCTGAAACCTGTCCACCATGGGTGACCATGCTGGTATTTAAAATACCTGTGGCATAGCTTCCAGAATCAAAGCAACTCATAAGCCACCACAGTATGACAGACAAGTGGTGGTCACCTAACACATAGTAAACAGTACGTATTTACTGAATAAAAGAAACCATAAGAACTAGATGGTGCCTAGCTACTACTACCAATGGCTCTGAAAGGGGTCACATTAGCATGTCCTGGATAGAGTCGCAGAATATGTGAACAAAACTCAAAATTAAATAATAAAAGACTGGGCTTAACTGGTCAGAAAGAAACCAATAACCTCAGACTATGGCTCTCAACTACCCTTCAGTCTGGAAAGAAACTCACCTTCGTGGCCCAACTTCCAGCCAAGCAATAGACAGGTCTATAGAGGGAACAACACTAGTAAGGTATGCTCACTATGAATGATGGAATTGTCAATCATTCTAAATCAAAGGAGCAATGTGTACCTAGGGTCAAAGGTGAGAAGGATTGGGAATGAAGGTGGAATGGAGATGGGAGCCACAGGGAGGAAGTGGGAGAACTGTTGTTGCATGGAGGGGATTGTAATCATTGAGATGAAACAAAGTATGTGATTTGTTGAATTTAAAACTAATGATCTTGTCTGTAAACCTACACTCAATTTACAAAAGTGTTAAGAAATTAGGACAGGGACTTTTCCATATGAAGTGACTTAAAACTCACCCATTTTCTGTTTCTTGTGATACCTGTTTTTTCTTTTGTGATCTGAGTTCCAATCCCTAAGCCTTAGATTTTGGTCTGGTGTCAGCTTTTTTTTTTAAGTTTTTATTGTGAAATGTGTGTTAGTTTATATGGGTGAACATTATCTTTATATTAATCCTATCGTATTTTGTTTCATTGCAATGATCACAGTCCCCTGCATGCATCATCAAACAGCCAAAGGGTATGCCCCTCTTCCTCCCTGAGTCCACAGTCCCTAGCCGCTCCTATCCACATCATCGTCTCTGCCTCCATCCCTCGTGTTACTGCTTCTCCGTTCAGGGTCTTGAACTTTGCTTTTCTCCCTGGACTACATCAGCCACTCCCCTCCTTTTTATACCAAACATTTACCTTTCCAACACTCACTGTCAGACCTGATAGCAGTCATTCCCTATTGAACCACAGGAGTCTTATCCCCCTCACCTTTTATCAACTCCATCCAGACAGGTTGGAAACAATTCAGTGAAGACTCTACCTTTCCCTGTATCCTCTGGAGCTAGGTTCTTTATTGAAAGCTTGTAAGCCAGTTACTTCTTACCTTTGTAGTCCCCTCATTTTGGGCAGCCAAAGTTTAAGTTCCCCCTCCCTGTCAACCCTGTTGTACCAAGGGGGGGGGGGGGCGGAGTGGTTTCGATCCGCATGTCCTTTACTTTTTGATTGATTTGTTTGAAGCTCTTGTCTGATCCAAACTACGGGGTGAACATTCCAGCTGTGAAACTGCAGCGGCATGTGGAGATGTACCAATGGGTTGAAGCAGAAGAGTCCAGGTAAGCTGCCAGGAAATGAAGTCAATTGGGAATAAAGGAGGTGAAGATGTTCTAGTCAAATGCAGGAGCATTTCAGATTATCTTTTGTTTGGAACGGGCAGGAATTTGATGCAAGGTAGCTTGAAGAGTTAACAGAGGTTGTTCCACTCCATTATTGCAGGAAGACAGGGAATGCACAGGCTTAGGCATGACTGGATCTTGGCCTCAAATTATGTAATTAAATCAGTGTGACCCACACATCTCACCCAGTATTAGTGCTCAGCTTTCTGATGTCTTGGTTCCATCCTCTCTTCCATGAGGAAGTAGAGGCAGCCTCCTGGCTTATACCCAGCCAGTGTCCACAGAAGTCCCAAAGCAGGCTCTCTTAGTCAGGCTGGGGTCAACCTGGAGTTGGTGGGGGTCCATTCCAGAGGTAGGAAGGTAGATGGAAGATAGCTTCAGAAGCTCTTGATGGTAGAGGGCCCAGGTAGATCTGTAGTCCAGAGGGTGGACTAGAATCCTGGGTGAGCCAGGGGGTGGAGGTGGCTTTCAGCTACGAATGAGAAGGCCCTTTTCTCCTGTCAGAGCCTTCATAGGAATGAGCCAGTTTTGCTAAAGAGTAAGCAAGTACAAATGAAGACAAGACTGCCCATTGTGGGGTTTGACCTCCCAGTGGAGGTTACCTCCAGCTGGTGATGTGTAGATTGAAATATTTGGGCATAAATGGGCCACCTCACCGGTTTCTTGTGCTTTTCCTGCAGAGAGTACACCGAGGATGGGCAGGTGAAGACAGAGACGAGGTACTCCTATAGTGAGTACCGGGACCACCCTCTTCCCGTTCCCCAGATGTGCCAGGCATTTCCCCTGCCCACAGGTGGTTTCTACTGCTAGGCGAAGCTGACAACCGTGGATGAAGTTGTGGGAAATCCCTGGGTGCCAGTCCTTGCCAACTGGTTCTCCCCATCCATTGACTAAGGTTCCGGGAGAACCCAAAGTAGTGAGCTTTAGGCACGTGGCCACTTTGTACCATGGTTTGAGTCATTTCCTCTCCCTACAGGTACTGAATGGCGATCAGAAATTGTCAACAGCAAAAACTTTGACCGAGAGATTGGTCACAAAAACCCCAGGTAAGAGCTGGGCGCCCAGGCTTAAGAGCAGCTTCACCTTTCTGGGCAGGCTGCTAGCCTCGTTTCTTTATCAAATTGAAGTTACCGCTGACTTCTGTGTTGATGAAAATGGGGGATGTGAGTTTTAGAAAGACTCCACTTGCCCCAAAGGAGGCATGAATATAAGGCACATAGAATACGTGCCTAACGGGGTTTGCATCTCCTTTGCCAGGTTAGCAGCCATTGGCTAGGAGGGTAAAAGGTAAGAAATCGACTTTAGAAAGGGCTCTCAGGAGTCAGTGACCTCAGATGTGGGCTTCAGAGTATTTCTCCTGAGGAGGTTACCTGGAAAGAGGGATGTGAAGGAAGGAAGGGCTTAGAGGTGGTGACATGGGGCTGCAGGGTTCAAGTGCTCCTGGGCCTAGGAGGAGGCAGTTGTTGGTAAGTACTGTCGAGTCGGTTCGGTTCCGACTCATAGCGACCCTGCATAGTGTTCAACCTTGCAGTTCAAACTGACCTTGAGGTCGAGTGCTTATCCTACAGCACCACACCTGGACTGCAGGGCCCTTCTGATGGCTACTGGGTCAGTAGGGTGGGCTAGGATAGCAAGAGGCTGTGAATGCTGGGGGACAGGCAAAAGCAGCAAGATATTCACCCCAGGGGAATGGGGACTGCGGCCCCCAAGGTTGGGGCAGATTGTTTGCCATGTTTTTAGGCTGGTCGGGACTCATTGGAGCCCCCTGAGTGAGGAGCCAGCTCCCACCCTGGTACTTCACTCACTGACAGCTCCCCTCTGTCTCACAGTGCAATGGCAGTGGAGTCATTCATGGCCACAGCTCCGTTTGTCCAGATTGGCAGGTTTTTCCTCTCTGCAGGTAAGTCTCAGGTGGCTAGGGTGTGAGCTGTGCGTGTGGAGGTGAGGCCAGCAGTCAGGCTCCGGAGTTCCTAGATGGGAGGTTTTCCTTTGGTGCCTCCTTCCTCAATACCCTGCTGCTCTCAGGTCTCATTGACAAAGTCGATAACTTCAAGCCGCTGAGCCTCTCCAAGCTGGAGGACCCTCATGTGGACATTATTCGCCGGGGAGACTTTTTCTACCACAGCGAGAACCCTAAGTATCCAGAGGTAATGGGCAAGCAGAGCTGCCTAGATAGCACAGATGAGGGGCCTTAGAGTGCTGTCCCTTGGACAGCATAGATTCCTGTTTGACACTCTGACTCAGTGCAGTTGGTTCCGCAGCTACACTTGGCCAATTGGGATGTTGGAGGAGGAGAGGTAAAGGAGTTCTAGGTAATGAAACACAAAGGGGCATGAGGGGCTCTCCCCAGAGATGTTGCCATAGAACCAGGACAGCCCACACACCCAGGTTAATGGCTTTTAATTCACTCCTTGTCCTTCTCTACCCCACAGGTGGGAGACCTACGAGTCTCTTTTTCTTACGCGGGACTGAGTGGGGATGACCCTGACCTGGGCCCTGCTAATGTGGTAAGCTGGCATCTAAGGGAAGACTCTGTATCAGGGCTTCATAACGTACCACTGGGATCCCTTGAAAGATCTTGTGAAGGACACATACATACATACATACATACACTGTGCACACTTTTCAGCCATTTCAGAGGTTTATGTCCCCTGTAGCTCATCTTCACAGCACTGCAAGTCAAGAGCTTGTCTTCTGGTTACATTCAGGCCCCTTCCTTCCTGTCTCCAATTTTTGGTCTATCCCTGGTCTTAGCATGCGTAGTCCTACCCCAGCATCTGCTTTGCCTGTGGTTCTGCTTGCCGGTGAGCCCCCAAAGTAGACGTGTGCAGAGAAGCTCCAGGCAGAGGTGATGCTGGTTCTCTCAGTCACCTCCCGAGCTGCCATACAGTCCCATCCCACAGGGATTGCTGGTCCAGGTGGGTTGGAAGGTTGGGGAGGGGGACACATGCCAATCCTCTAATCACCTCCTCAGCTCTGGCACTAAATTCTTCCCCCAGGTCACTGTGGTGGCCCGGCAACGTGGTGACCAGCTAGTCCCATACTCCACCAAGTCTGGGGACACCTTGCTTCTTCTGCACCATGGGGACTTCTCAGCCGAGGTGAGTTGCTAGTACTCTACCTGTGTGGTGGAGGGTAGGCATGTCCCAAGCTAGTTCCTTAGTCCTCTAACACTTGCTTAACAAACCATTCCTATTACGCCAGTACAACAATGCAAGAAAAAGAAATAAAAGGAATAATCACCTCATCTTGCATGCCAGGCTCTGTTAAAGCACTGGGGGCAGAACTTTAGTTGTGAGACAGATTAATGAGAAAAGCTGGTAAACAAGGGCCATGAAGAGCAGAGCAGCACTCTGAGGTAATAGATAGCAACAGTGACTTGAACAGAAAGCCTCTCTGATGAGTGACATTTTTGCTGTTACCCAAATTATGAGAAGGAGGCACTTACGAATCAGAGGTTGGCAAGGAGAAGGGCCCAGTCAAAGCAGAGAGCAGTGCATCTTCCTAGGGAGTGGACATAGGAGTGAGTCAGGTTTGCACTTTGTCAGGAACCACAAGAAGGTAATGAGTTTATAGTTGGGCATCCTGGGACCTTTGACACATGTCTCCAGAGTTCGTGGGTTCTGTTTCCCCCATCTGTGAAATGGGGGATCAAGCCTCACCTCAGTCCATGGAGAAGATAGAGTGGTCAGTTCAGTTTTTTGCCTTTAAAGTTAGCCTGTTTGTTTTTCTTAACAGGAAAATACAGTTTTAAAACTGTTGATGAGCATAGTTTGTTACTGGTGGGACATTCTGTACCGGCTTTAAAATAGACTGTGGTGGTTTTCACCAGGACTAGGCAGGTGTCAGAGATTAGCTGTGGTCCCTTTGTCCTCCCATATTAGGCCTTCAGCTGCCACCCTTCCCACTTGCATTGCACATCCTATGTGGGGCTTGGGTCACACCCATTCCTTATACCTGGCCAGGATATTGCCTAGGAACCCAGTCACCAACTCAGGGTGCAGCTGCCACTCCCCAACCTAGCAGGTCATGAGTCACCCATTTCACCCGACTCTGAGGGCCACTTGGGGAGTTCTAAAATTAGGAGATCCTGTCTAAACCTTATTCTCAACCAGGGCTCTTGCTCAGCCCCAAGCTTCTATCTCCTACAGGCCGAGGGAGACCTAAGTCTCAGAGCTGCCCCCACTCAGAGAGGATTGGGCAGACCTCCTAGCTTAGATGTCACCCCAGGGACATCTAAGAGCTGACAGTACAAGTAGGCTGGTCTTCTGATTACAGTGTCTCTGGCTGCTTAATAACCCCAGCCCCTGGAAGCCCCCCGCTACTCTCATCCCCTTAGGGTCTAGGGTCTATGCCAAGCAGAATGAGGACTCTAAGGCAAGGAGGCAGCCCAGGGTACTGAGAAGAAACCCCGAACCTTGCAAGTCAGGATGCCCAGACTGTACTCCCTGGAAAGAGGCTAGAAGAGTGGTTTTAAGTGTGGACCTAATTCTGACCCTGGCCTCCCTTTGAGTCTGTTTTTAATGCTCTCTGAGACTATATCTTAATCTGTATAAGGGAAATCTTTATGTTATTGGGCTTCTGGTATGGTGCTGTAAGTTAAGACACCAGACTGCAAGGCCATTTTGAACTGCAAGGTTGGTGGTTCAAGCTCGCCAGACACTCCTCAGAAACCCTCTACTGGGTTGGAACTGACTTGATGTCACTTAACATCATTATGCTAGCCACAAGATCTGGGGTTCAGACCCACTAGCCACTGCTTGGAAATGCTAAGCCCAAACCAACGGACACTTAACATTTCTGTTATCTTGGTTGTTGTGAGCATTATTCCTTCACTCATTTAACACGGGAGATAATGAGGAAGGAGCAGACATGCTCATTGTCCTTGGAAACTCAGAGTACTTAACTGCTTGAAGTAAGACCGCATCTTTGTAAAATGGAGATAATTTTGAAAACTATCTAAGATCATTCTTATGAAACAGTACAGGGACTTATAAATAGGAAGTGACAAATTATAATTATTGTAGGAGCTCAGGTAGCACTTTAAGATCTGCTAAGTGCAAGATTGGCAATTCAAACCCGTCAACTACTCCAAGGGAGAAAGATGAGGCTTTCTGCTTCTGTAAACGTTTACGGTCTTAGATAACCCTACACAGGGTTGCTATGAGTCAGAATTGACTCATGATGCCGTGGGTTGAGCATAATTATTGTTATTGATAGAGATCATAGTAAGCTGCAGAGTATTTTGGGAGCTGGCCAGGTACAACTGCAGGCTAATTACTTCTAGACAAGGTAACTGTGGAAAGTGCAGAGGCAAGAAGACACCCGACCTTGGCTTGGAACAGGCAGTCACTGGGTCTGGGACATCAATGGTAGGGTCAGGGCAGCAGGGAGAACACTGAGGAAGAAGCTATTGCAGTAGTGCGGGGTGGGTGGCTGTACTGTTGACAGGACATCTGATTGACTGGATGGGAAGTGGTGAGGAGAGAGGTCAAGTAGTATGCCAAGGTTTTGGCTTGTGCCATTTTCTGAGATGGGAAGACAGAGAAATGAGGTGGAGGCTTGGGTGTCACTGTTGGATGTGCCAGGACTTCAAGGGGAGACGCCAGGTGGCCAGTGGGAGCTCCACAAGACGAGGTGCCTGATTGGCAGCTGTAGGTCTGAGACACTAGATGGGACTAACTGGGAAAGAGAGTGGAGAACTGAGAAGGGGAAAGAAAGCAGTATAATAATATGGAAGAGAAGGAACAGCGGTGGAGACGGTAGGAGCCTGACAATAGGAAGAATACAAAGAGTGAGGTGTCCCAGAATCCAGATGGGTTACATGTAGAACTCTCAGCTGTTTAGTGGAGGCAGTCAATGGTCCCATAGAGTTAGGGATGCAAAATAAAGGAGAGTCAAGTTCATTACCTTCATTACACATGGACTGAATGTGTGAAGGAGGTAGGATCTGCCTGAAAAGGGCTCAGATCTTCCCCCAACAGCTCTTACGCCCTCTGGTGTGCCAGGTGGGCTGAGAGTCTCTCGTCCTAGCCAGTATCTTCCTCTGATCTGTTCAGAGCTGGTCCACAGCTTCTAGGTTGACATGGCCCCCTCAGTTGTGACCACACTTTCTCCCTCTTGTTCTGCAGGAAGTATTTCACAAAGAACTAAAGAGTAACTCCATGAAGACATGGGGACTGCGGGCCACTGGCTGGATGGCCATGTTTATGGGCCTCAACCTCATGACCAGGATCTTGTATACCCTGGGTAGGTGTGCAACCCCAAGTGCTTTCCTCTGCCCGGAACACACCACTAGCTGTCACCCTCTTCATAGCTTTGGGGTGGATGCCAGACTCCCAGGAGGCAGGTCTAGTTTTCATGATCTAAGGGTGGGGAGATCTGGTAGCGTAGTGGTTACGAATCGGGCTGTGAACCTTAAGGTCAGCGGTTCGAAACTACCAGCTGCTCTGCGGGAGAAAGATGAGGCTTTCTACTCCCGTAAAGATTTACACCCTCGGAAACCCTGTACAGGGTCGCTATGGGTCGGAACCGACTCGATGGCACTTAACAACAACAACAAGGGTTGGGCCCACTAGTCTCCCTGTCCACTAGCTCACTCGTTCATTCTTTCATTTGTGAAATGATCCACAAGTAATTAAATAGCCACAGAGGGGGCTGGCCAGCCTTTGAGTGAGCCAGACCTGCATTTGCAAACTATGATGTGGTGTTAAGAGCTCTGGTACTTGGGTCAGTGCCTTTCCCATCCATCCCCACTTAATTACTTTACACTGAACTTGCCGTCTTGTAAGATGTTTGGCAAATAGGAAACACTGGGCTAAATGTGGGGCAGCCTTTGCTGGGCTGTTCACTTGGCCTGAGGCTGAAGCCAGGGATTCCAGTAGAACCCTAAATGACACACATGGTTCAAGTTTGGAACCTCACCCAGGGTGAGTGGTTTCTCAGTAGATTTTCCATCTAAACCTGAACCCGTTTGTGTCCTTAGTCAGAAGATTCTGCCCAGCCTTTCCTGGGTCTCAGCAGAAACCTATTTGCCACTTGCACGTTGGGAAAACTGATGGCTATAGGACAGCTAATTGCCCAAGCTAAGAGGGCTACCACCCTCCTCTTACAGACGGGAACATGAGGTCCAGGCAGAAGGCGTCCTCAGCACAGCTGAATTGTGCTCAGCAAAACCAGCCATATCTTTGGCTTCACAGGGGAGAGATCAGAATTTAAACTAAATTCCTGTTTTTTCTTTGAACTAACCTTGCCTTGGACAGGCCACACCCTTCTTGGGATGAGGTTGAAGTTCCTCTTCTTTGGGGCTCTGCCTGTCTGTCCTCTGACCCTCTCTTCACCTGGGATGCCAGCATTCCAAACTCCAGACAGACATTAGAGTACATGGGGGGTTGTAGTGCAGGAGATATACCAGGAAGCTGCAACACAGAAGTATTCAGCCATCCACTAGCTCACTGATCCAACTGCATCCTTGGGACCCAGGCACTCTGGAGCTTAAATCCTGGTACTTTCTAGCTGGACAACTGTGGGCACATTTCTTACCTTATGGGTAAAACAATAATAATAGCACTTAACCTTGCAGGATGGATACTCGGGCTTGTTGAGCTGATGCCCACAATACCTGACACGTAGTCAACACTAATGAACGTGAATTTGCTTCTAAGGTCTAAGTAGGTGTAGACCCAGGGTGGCCTGATGTCATGATGGAGTAATAGGGCTGTAAGCCCAGTAAAGCCAGAGCCCTGGCACCTCACAGGACTTGGCTAAAGGTAGAGTGACTCCTGGTAAAATTAGCTAGTCATCATATTGGGCCAATGTATTTCCCTGAGTCCTGCCAAGAGCTTAAATGAACCAACACCTTCAGGGATAGCAGAGCAGCCCTTTGTGAGACTGCAGGAATGGCCTCAATGACAGTAGTTAAAAGTTTGCAAATTCCTGTTTTACATGAAACTAAGCAAAACGGGTGGCTCAGGCTATGCACATTCAAACAACTCGGCATCTGGGTTAACTGCATTCCACCATTCTGACCCTTCCCCATTCCTGTTTACGTAGCATCAACCACCAACCATTTCCTAGGAAGGAGACCACCTGTTCTGTGATACACAGAGCATGGTGGCCTCCTCAGTTCAGTACCTTTCCTTCTCCACAGTGGACTGGTTTCCTGTCTTCCGAGACCTGGTAAACATTGGCCTGAAAACCTTTGCTTTCTGTGTGGCCACCTCACTGACCTTGCTGACTGTGGCTGCTGGCTGGCTCTTCTACCGGCCCCTGTGGGCCCTCTTCATTGGATGTCTAGCATCAGTACCCATCATCATTGCTCGGACACGGGTGACAACCAAAAAGCTGGAGTGAAACAGGCCCTGGCATATGCCAGACCCACGTCTCCACCTCCCCCACTGACCCAACATGAATCTGGATCCGTTTTCAATTCCACAATCCCATTCTGCAGTGTGTACATGTCAGGATCTGGTGGTCATCAGTTAATGTGTTCCCAATAAGCAGCCTTGGTGGGCAGAAAACAGCTTACATCTGGCACTGTAATAAGCATTCTCCCATTTGTTCCCGTGCTGCCTTCTCCTGTAACCTTGTGTGTGTGTTGTGGGGGGGGGTGCCTGGGTTAGCCCCTTTCCCTCAGCTCACCTGTATATAGAAGGTAACAATAACGATGCACTAACACTCCATAGAGGCCTGCTGGTTAAAGGGCTCGGTGTCCGTTTTGCTGGTTTCCATCACTGAAGACAAGTACCGGGACTCTGCCATAATCATCAGATTGTCTGTGATCTTGAAGGACAACCTTTACATACTGACTACCCAGCAGTATTACCCAGCAATACAAAAGCACCAAGACCCAAGTGTTTGAGTAGAACTTGACTGAGTACTTAAAAACATATAATGCTAAAGATGTCATGATGAGTCAGTTGTGACAATAGAGACCCTGAATTAGGTTTCCGAGGTGCAACTGGTGAACTTTGAATCGCCGCCTCTGCGGTTCAAGCAACCTTGCAGTCCAGGGCATAAACCCAGTGCCCCACCAGGACTCCTAATAAATGTACAGGCTCTCTAAAATCCCCGCTTAATAAGCTTTGCTTTGATCTCCTTGTATACTTTGCTACCCCAAAAGGAAATTTTTGAAAAAAGATTTAAAAAACAAAGCCAAAAATATACAGTGTGGATGGGCTATGCTCA